CCGATATAAGATAAATTATTATCTCTGGCTAATTGAGAGTGCACCCTGGCATAGGAAACCTGGTGCACTGAAACAACTTCCACTGTTCGGTTAACTAAACTTTCTGTAACAAATCCACACTACTTGAAAAGGGTGAATCCTGTGTTCTGATAAGTGGAGACTGGGTTTTCCTGTTGGATCACACTCTGCTCCTACTAGTAATTAATGCACAAGATCTACTGAAATAAGTGATAATCAGCATGGAAAGAAGGAAAAATTTGTCTCCTGTCTGTTCTACCAGCTGAATCACTTTTGTTTTTTAATCAGCTCCATGTTGCTTCAATCATTCCAATAACACTTCTTCAGATTAATCAAAATAACTTTAATAAATCTGTTAATTATGGTACAGTATTTATTTATCAGATTTATAACAAGTCAGACTTAGTGCTGCTGATTAAAGAATAAAAATTGATTTAATGCTTTGGTTTTAACATCTAACAGCCTCACAAAACTTGATTTTATTTTATTTTGTATAAGGAAAGTGGCAGGACCAAAGAATCAGTCACCTGTGTTAAATACGATTCTTACCTATCAGATTATGGTTTAGATGACCTTATGAGCTACAGTAGAACATCAGAGTTATGAACATCTTGGGAATGGAGGTGGTTCGTAACTCTGAAATGTTGACTCTGAAATGTTCAGATGCATCTGAAGAACGGGGGTTTTTACCCACAAAAGCTTATGCCCAAATAAGTCTGTTAGTCTTTAAGGTGCCACCGGACTCGTTGTTTTTGTGAATGCAGACTAACACGGCTACCCCCTTATATCTGAAATGTTTGTAACTCTGAACAAAATGTTAGTTCTTTCCAAAGCTTACAGCTAAACATTGCCTTAATAGAGCTTTGAAACTTTACTGTGCAGAAGAAAAATCCTGCTTTTAACCATCTTAATTTAAATGAAACAAGCACAGAAACAGTTTCCTTATTTCGTCAAATATTCTTTAAATTTTGCCTTTTTTTTTTTTAGTGTTTACATTTAACACAGTACTGTACCGTATTCACTTTTTTGTCTCTGCTGCTGCCTGATTGCATACTTCCAGTTCCAAATGAGGTGTGTGGTTGACCGGTCAGTTCATAACTTTGGTGTTCGTAACTCTGAGGTTCTACTGTACTGTGTGGCTTGGAGCTACTTGGCCTTCTGGCAGTACCAGTTCCTAAGGGCTTGTCTATATTGCACTAACTAGCCACAAAGCCCCTGCTTCCGCGCACTAAAAATTCCATAGTGTGATTTGACATACTGCTGTTTCATACTGGCTTGCTGTGCACTAAATCACGGTGTAGGCAAGCCCTTAGTGAAATAAAACTGCAGAGTATGTAGCAGTTAGGAGAGAATAGCACTTAACTGCTGGAAAATAACTTGTTCTTGGTCATGCCTAAGTGCCTGTGGCATGCAGTTGTCTCAAAAACTACCTGCCCTGGAGGAGTATTCTCTACATGCACTCCAGGCGAGCCTGCTTGCACTTCTGGATTGTACAAGTCCTATGAAACTCATTGTCTGAACAAAATAAGATGTTTCTGTATTACTTCAGGATTTGAAGCATTGATCAAGGACTTTTTAACAAAGTTTTAGGCTGAAGAAAGCCAAAGCACAAAACCCTCTGTTTAGTGATTTCAACCTAATCATCCTTGATTTCACTGTCTTTGGCTTCTGTTTCAAAGTGGTTTCCCTAATTTTCTTCTTTGCCTTCTCTAGTATCGGCTGGGACTTACTACTCACCCTGAACAATTCCTTCTGAACAATGTTGATGCAGACTCAAATGTGACTAGATGATTCCCTGAACTGCAGTAGCAAGAACAAAAACAATTTTGAAGCCCCTTTGTGCTGCGGAAAAGGATTTTCCTTACTTTTGGTTAGTTCAGAAACGGGTATGGTCAAGCATCAAGAATGATGGAAAGATTTCCTCCAAGAAGGAACACGGGATAAAACTGACATCTGCAGAGGAGTGTCAGATGGAATCAACAGACATTGCACCTGACATCAGCCATGAAGGTTCTCATAGGACCAATGAAGAGCCAGAGTCAAACCAGTTCATAATATCACACACCCTATGGGTTTGTCTTCCCTTTAGGTACTCAAAATATTTTCTTTAATCCTTTTTTTAATTGTAAATTATTTGGGGAGTAAATTATAGATATTTGAATATCTTATTGATTTAGATCTAAACTTATTCCGCTTGGTGTTTCTTAGGCCAACTAAATGATGGGACACTAACATGTTTTCCAGCTTTTGGAAGATTGTCCAAATGAGTAATATTAAGATTTTACATTTGATTTTGAATCTCATTTATGAAGTACACTAAGGAGACTACACAATGAGAAATAATTAACTCAAAAGCATGGGCAGATTCTGAAGTGTAAATCCATTGGAGCCTAAGGAAGAAGCGTACAAAGCTTCTGTAAAATGCAGAGTATGTTCTGGGCATTCTCTTCCATTTCTGCTTCCTTCTCTCTAAAAACACCCTCCCTATCTGTCCAGGTACTTAGGTGCTTGGTTACTATAGCAATGAGTCCTATCATCTCAAACCTCTGTAGCCTCCACTGTGGCTATCTCAAGAGGTCTCCTACCAAGAGCATGGCAATCCTCACTTCCCTGCCCACCTCTTCTAAGCATCTGGCCAGTTCTTCAATAATGAGCTACTACTCTAGGATTTTATTTCAAGTGCTTGTCTTGCCCCCCCCACAACTACATTGCTGACTGCTGCTTAGGAGATGGTAACTAAAGTGTAACTGAAATGGGAGGATAAAAAGAGTTGTATGTTTGTGCATTCAGTCTAACTTTGTTTTCTTTGTCATCGCATCCCAGCTTTTATTTGACCGACTGTGTTGAATTGCTTAATTCTCAATTTCAAAATACAAACAGTTTGCAGAGGCAATGCAAGTTTAGGTTTTACTCCTGACATCAGAGGTGAGGATCTATAGAATCCTTGGTTTAAGTACCTGTCTATACAGTTATAGGAGTGGACACTGCTCTTTTAAGAGTGCTCACCATGGAAAGTGCCTGTTAACTATTAAGTCCTGAAGAGGGACTGTGAAGAAATTCTTCATGTAGTTCTTCCAGCCATAAATGCAACTGAATAAATCCAAAAAACACAGAATGGGGGTAACTTTTCCTGGGACAAGCTTTTATCTGCTTATCTCAAATGGCATTGAACACGAGCTTTGCATTTTCCTGCCATTTCAAGAAGTCTTGAATGATTAGGATAATTTCTGAGAATTGGATGGTTCCAAACTCAGAGCTTGAGGCCATGATATTCTGGGTGGGAAAGTGTTTTGTTTTTAAAAGGATAAATCTTTTGCAGTTGTGCTAAGAACCCTGAGGCAGGAACTGCCTTCACATGGAAGATGCCCTGAATTATATTTTTATATATGTCTATGTGGGCTCAGTTCTGAGGCATCTTATTTCTGTTTTTTAATTAAATCTCTTACCCATGAAGCATTTCTGTCCCTGTGTATTTGGCACTAATTTATTAAATATATTGATTACACTTTAACTTGAGCAAGAAGTTGCTCAGGTACATGATGGGGTGACTCCCTCCCTTTTCATCCTCCTGCATTAACACTGCCCCCAGTCCTCTGTCTGAGGTGTTGGTGAACACCATAAAGGGCTTGTCAAAGTCTGGGTTTGCCAGAACTGGGCCACTGAGCAGAGATGAACATGATGGAAGTCCAGACTGTCAAATAAATGTGTCAAATTCACTTTAGCTTTTTCTGTTCAGGCTTCATTTGCTTAAGAAATAATGCTGATATTCTTCAGATCAGATTACCCAGAAAGTTAATAACTTTCACTGGCTGTTTTCTGTACAAGAACAGACTGTACAGTATGAACAACTGCAAAAACTTGTGGCTATTACATGCGAGGGAAGTAAAACGCCCCCAGTGTGAGTACTGAATGCAATACACCAGAGGATATTCTCTGGCTCCAAACTGTAGAGAGACCCTAAAGTTTGGATTGAAGTGTAGCATGGGCAATGGTGTCCAAGTTTCCACCAGTTAATGTGGAAACACATGCTGTAAATGTTTTTGCAAAATGAGTCTTATTCAGATACTCTCTCTCACACTAAAGTTTTGTCTACACTACCACTTCTGTCAGTAAAACTTTTGTTGGTCAGGAGTGTGTAGAAGAAAAACCACACACCCCTGACCAACATCAGTTTCACTGGCAAAAGTGCTGGTGTGGACAGCACTATGTCAGCAGGAGAGCCTCTCCTGCCAACATAGCTAATGCTGCTCATTGTGGGTGGTTTAATTATGCCAGCCGAAGAGCTGTCTCCTGCTGGCAAAGCACAGCTACACAGGAGACCTTACTGCTTGTACAGCAATGCCGCTGTAAGGCCTGTAGTGTAGACATAGCCTAAGTCTATTGCAGGTGGTACTTGCTTTTGTTTTTAGTAAATCCCATTACAATGTTACCCTTGGCCAGTGTGGATTAGGCATCTAGCAAGCTGGCCTAGTGTCATTTAGATACTGGGCTTCTGCTTGCTGCTGTAGCTACATACAAGGGACACTAAGGAACTTGGTTTAAGGCTGAGGAATAGTACCTCCTCAGCTGATTCCCTCTATAGGCAGGCTGGCTCTAGCCTTGGTCTCTACCCCAGTTGGTGCTAGCTGTAATTTGTTGCCATCTTTCCGTGTCAGGCAAGTCTCAGCCTGTACAGTAACTGAACCAGGAGTCCCTCTAATGTGTTATCTCTGGGGAGTTTTTAAATAGCTGCCAGAGCTTTTGTTTGCAAACACTTGCTTTAGTTGGAAGGAAGAGGCTCTTGTTGTAATCTCATTACTTGTATCACGTTAATCACTGCTGTGGTTTAGAGAGCATCTTTGTTAAACCGAGTCTGGCAGGTGAAGGTCTCAACAGCAATGACATGAAATATGCAGCAGGCCAAAGAGTAGTGACCCAGTATTTCATGGTGAGCACCTGTTCAAAATCTACTTACTGTAACTAAAACCATTGGCTTCAGCAAGTTAAAACATGAGTATTTTATTGTAACCAAGTGGGTTACACTATATATAAAGATTTAATAAATAAAACAGCATAAACAAACAGCAGCCTACTAAATATATTTATACGAAACATTTAGACAACCAGCAGTGGTACAAGACATTCGACTATTCAGGTCTTCTGTTAACTGTCTACTGCCAACCCCAAAGAACAATCTTGTAATGCTCTCTTACCATACTGTAGCCCTCTTTCCTAACTAGGCTGCATGGGAGGAGTACTGCAACATTCTGAGCTTGATGTAGGTCGATGGCTGCCTCTGCCCTAGATAACAGGTCTCCTCCTTGCACAGTACTCTAGCTGGCAGGAAATGCTGAAACATTGATACTGACTGTGCTGTCAGTCACGAAGAGTCTATTGCCTCTAGCATCATAGACATAGATATTGTGAGTTTAGGTATTGATCCCAACAGTTGGCTTTTGCATAGAGCAGCCATTCAATGGCAGAGCTAACAGAAGTCCTGGTGGTGATTACTTAAAATTCTTACAATGTTTACAGAGAGAAATTCTAAATAAATAATTCTGAACATATGCTTTCCTCTCCTGCTTGGTCCTATGGAGTTGGTTCACTTTTTGGCCCCATTCTTGATCTGAGGTTTAACGTAATCCTTATACATAGAGAAGAGAACACCTAACAAAAGAGAGCAGATACTGTTATCTATTGGTGTTTTTCATATGAAAGATAGTTCAGCAATTACTCTTCATGCAAACAGTTTTGCTTCTTTTCATTTAATTATAATGTCTGCAAAGAAGCACAGGTAAAATTATTCAGCAGTAAAAATGTCTTCTCTAAATATCCTAAAAAATAAGTGGTGCAAGGAGGTAACAGCTGGACATTAAATGGTCCAAGACATCCCAGTTTGAATAGCTATATCATGAATCATGAGCTATAGTGATTTACAGAAGATATAGCTGTGAGCTTTGAAATGGGAGAATACTTGCTGAAAGTAGAGGTTAGTCAAGCAGCCTACAAGTAGGCTCACTACAATATGGGCAGAAGACTAACCCACCCACCCCTCAGAAAGAGGCTCAGCTACGGCAAAGGTATCTTAAAAAGGTCTCTGCACAAATCAGTATCTTACCTATTGTTATTGCTCCTACTACAAAGCCTTGTGCTGCAACTCTCATGTGAATGAGATGGACTGACATTTTCTGATCTCCTCTGTGTTTTAGCTTGTAGAGACCGTAGCCCACGACAGCAACAAAGCCTGCCATCCCTATGCATTCAGAAGGAGGGGGAAGTTCAATAAATTTGTACAACCAGAAAATGTAACTTTGGCTTAAAGAATGTCAGATATTATTCTAAGTAATACATGCCTTAAGCTAAAATCTACCAAATAGTGCATAGGGTGAGGAATCAGCATATTAAGGTTTGCAGAATCTGCCCCTTCTGACTTAAAAAAGTAGTGTTTACCAAATGCTAAATTAGACATGCTGTTTGAACAAAGCATCCAACTTTCTGTACCAGGAAATGGTGGTTTTGTTCCCAAAACCATCTAGTATAGCTATAACCACACTCATATTATCTGACTTCTTTTCTTTCTGAAGTAGGGAAGGAAGCATCAGTTAGAGGTTTAATTTTATCTCTACCTTTTTTGCTTTTGAAGTGAAGTCAGGGCCTATAAATCACTTTCAATTACTTTTGTTATTTGGTATATAAATTGAACAACAATTATTCTTTTATCTTTCAATTAATCACCCCCACACTCTGCAAAAAAGCAAGCTGTGTCATCGCAACCTGCTAAATTGACAACAGTGTATACAGATTAACCTGTGTTCATTTAGTCTGGTACATACAAATCACTTTACGGTTTAGAAGAGCTTCTGTTCTGACAATCCTGCTGTTGCTGCTAAATGTTAGGGAAGCCTAATGAAGTTTGATGGATGAAACTTTCCCAGGCTTCTCCTTGCCTTTCCAGGTCTGCACAGTTCCTGAAAACCTAGTTTTCTGGATGTGATTCATCTCACTTAGTTTATTGGTTTTTAAAGGAAGGTCTGATTCACTGGTGTGTGAATATGGAAACCTGTAAAGCTCTGTTTCTGAGGGAAGAACCCCCATGTAGAAGGTACTATAGGAAGCTGCACAATTACACCTTTTAAAAAGACACCTTTTAAATGAAGGTTATAACAGACTTCCATCAGACTACTGATAAAGTAACAGCCACTTTTGCAACAGATCTATACTCCAGTCTAGCCATCCTATTAGGATAGAGTACGATAGGTGACAGTGGAAGGAGAAAAACCTTTTCACACTATCAATTTTGCTGTTCCATGTTTAACTAGTGTAAATTTTAGCTATTTCTGGAAAAAATCCATTAATCTCCATTACTAACTGAAGAGATTATTTCTGAGGAAAAACAGGCCAGAATTATTACAATAAAACCCTGTCCACAGCACTCTGTGTGCACAGAAAGATTCAACTCACCTACAGGAACAAATGGAGAGTCTCTGGCTTTCCGTGTCAGTTTAGATACTTGACTGTCTTCTTCCTCCGCAGACCAGTGATCATCAGAAGACATTTCTCACGTCTAAAAACAAAACGGGGCTGACAATTCAAATCCAGAGATTCTTTCCTTCTCCGGTGTTTATTTGCTAAGGCACCACTTACTTATGAGACTCCCAGGTGTCAGAGCAGCTAACTTGCAAACTGATCGTGGTCGTACATAAGCAGATTCCCTTTTTCTAGTTGTCGTTCATTTAATGCATCATCTGCTGCTTAATTGCATTTTAGAGGCCCTCTGGTTCCCTGTTAAGGGTTTTATTTTGGCATTACAATTGGGCTGGGTGAAGTTTGTCACTTATACCTGCTCAGTTCTCCAAAGGATAATTCAGCAGGACCTGCTCGGAAATGAAGCTTCCCCTTCGTAGCTGTATCTGTGGAATAAACACATACTTCATTCAAAAAAAAAAAAAATTGGATGTTCTAGAGACCCATTTCCCCTTCCCTAGAGAAGAAGAAAGGGGCAAATATAGTACCTAGCTGTAAAAAGGGGAATAAGGACAACCCAGGGACTTATAGACCAGTCAGCTCATATTCTGTATCTGGAAAAATAATGCAGCAAACAATCAATCAATTTGTAAGCATCTAGAAGAAAACAAGGTATCAGTTAACATGGATTTGTCAAGAACAAATTGAATCAAAATGAACTTAATATCTTTCTTTGACAGGGTAACAAGCCACGGGGAAGGAGTAGATGATACCTTGACTTTAGTAAGGTTTTGATACTGTCGCTTGACCTTCTGATAAACAAACTAGAGAAATATAGCCTTGACAAACCTATGAGGTGGGTGCACAACTGGTTGGAAAATCGACTCAGGGAATAGTTATCAGTGTTTTCACAACCAGGCTGGAAGGGCATATCAAGTGGAGTCCTACAGAGATCTGTCCCAGGTCCAATTCTATTCAATATCTTCATAAATGATATTACTAATGAGATAGAAAGTACACTGATAAAGTTTGTGGACAATACCAAGGTGGGAGAGGTTGCAAGTACTTTGGAGGGCATGATTAGAATTCAAAATTATATTGACAAACTAGAGAAATGGTCTGACATAAACAGGATGAAATTCAATAGGCATAACTGCACAGTACTCCTGTTAGGAAGGAATAATCAATTGCACAAATAAAAAATGGGAAATGACTGTCTAGGAAGGAGTAGGGCAGAAAAGGATGAGTGGTTATAGTGGATCACAAAGTAAATAAGTCAACAATGTAATACTGTTGCAACAAACAAACAAAACAAAAAAACATTGTAAGCAGTACATAAGAAGTAGTTCTTCCACTCCATTCCACACTGATAAGGCCTCAGCTGCGGTATTCTGTCCAGTTCTGAGCACCACAGTTTGGGAAAGATGTGGACACAGTGGAGAAAGCCCATAGGAGAGCAACAAAAAATATTAAAGATCTAGAAAACATGACCTATAAGGAAAGACTGAAAAAATTGGATTGGTTTTGAAAAGAGAAGATGGGGGAGGGGAGGGAATGATAATTTTCAAGTAGGTAAAAGGTTGTTATGAAAAGGAGGGTGATAAATTGTTCTCATTATCCATTTAGGACAGGACAAGAAGGAATGGTCTTAAACTGAGCAAGGGAGATTTAGTTTAAACATTAGGAAATCTTCCTAACTGTCAGGGTAGTGGAACAAATTACCTAGGGAGGTTAGATTTCAAGAACAGGTGAGACAAACACATGTCAGGGATGGTCCACATAATACTTAGTCCTATCTTAGTGCAGGGGCCTGAACCAGATGACTTATTGAGGCCCCCAGTACCCTCCCCCTATTGCCCTTCCCCCCTACAGCCACCTCCCCCTCCCCACATTGCCCCTTCCCCTATAGCCCCTACCCTGTACAGCCCCCCCAGTATCCTCCTCCCCCCATTGCTGTCCCCCTTTACAGCCCCCCAGTACCCTCCCACTATTCCCTTAGTACCACCCCCCTCCCCCCATTGCTCTTTCCCCCGTACAGCCCCCCCAGTTCCCTCCCCCTATTGGCCCTACTGCCCACCAGCACCATCCCCTCCCTCTATTGCCCCTACAGCCCCCCCAGTATCCTCCCCCTCCCCCATTGTTCTTTCCCCCTGTACAGCCCCCCCAGTTCCCTCCCCCTATTGCCCCTACCGCCCACCAGCACCATCCCCTCCCTCTATTGCCCCTACAGCCCCCCATTGCTCTGTCCCCCTTTATACCCCCTCTCGTACCCTCCCCCTCCCTCCATTCCTCTGCCCCCCTTAACAGGCCCCCCCTTGTTCTTTCCCCTCCCCCCGGGACCATCCTACACGCCCCCCCAGCCCCGCCCCATTTCGCCGTTTTCCCCTGGCCCCGCCCACCAGCCGCACGAGCATGACTCAACCTCCGGCCAGCCGGCCGCACCTCCGGGCCAAAGCCGCACCCGCTTTGGCGTACGTCACACGAGGGCAGCCAATGGCCAGCGAGGCGGGGGGAGGGGGCGCTGTCGGGCGGCAGCGGCTCGCGCTGCCTCAGAAACGGCGGGAAAGGCCGAGCCGCCCCCTAGCGTGGGCTCAGCCCGCGCGAGCGCGGGGCGGCGGGTGCGCCCCGGGGCTGGCCCCGCCCTAAGGCTAATAATCGAAGCTGCCCTAGTCAGGGGCCTCCCCTACCCCGGGCAGCTCGTCACGGGGCAGGGCTGCGCTGGCCAGGCCCACCTGAGAGCTAGACTAGGAGCCCCCCCGCCCTGTTATAAGGCCTGGCCCAGCTGCGACCTCACACAGACAGCAGCAGCTCGTGCAGTCAGGGTGACCAAACAGCAAGTGTGAAAAATCAGGACAGGGGGTGGGGCGGTAGCAGGAGCCTACATAAGGAAAAGACCCTAAAATCGGGACATCTGGTCACCCTACATGGAGTCCTCAGCTTAATTTCAGGACCCATTTCTCCCCCAGCCGATCACTAGGGTTTTTTTATGTCACAAAAACCGGCTCCTGTTATGGAAGATATTTATAGGCCCTCCCTCCCATGGCTGTAGGAGCTGAGAGTCTCCCTGTCCTGAATGCATTTAATCTCACAATGCCCCTAGGATGTAAAAAAGTGCTGATTTCACAGGTGGGAAACTGAGGCACGGGAAGACTGGAGCAGCTTGCTTAAGGTGAGGCAGGAAGTCTGTCCAGGCAGGGAACTGAAAATAAGCTTCCCAAGTCCTCTGCTTGCGCCCTAACCACTGGGCTGTTCTCCCTTCCAACCCTTAATCGCTTCCACCTGGCTCAGCTGTTTCCTTGCCTGCAGGGAGAGCAGGGCTTGTATTGAGCTAGTGCCCTGTACCCAAGCTCACCACCGGTGCCTGCAATTTTCTTTTGCGGGCCCTGTGGGAAGAAGGTAAGGAAGCAGGCACTTTTGTGGCTCCCGTGGCATCCCTGAGATTGGCTAAAAGGCTGTAAATATGCAGTGGCTGGAGCATCCTTCCATCAGGCAGAAAACATCTGTGTATGGTGCCTGGAAAAAGTATGTGATTTTCAAAAATGGATATGGGTTTTTTTAAGGGGGGGGGGATGACAGTTTGGTTGTGGGGAAGAATAATAAAAATAACAGGAGGAAGGGAGCGTTTGAGCTGATTGCGGCTCTGTTGTATGGGTCAGGCTGCAAAAGATGCGGGGCTTTTTTGTTTGACCAAAGAAACCATTTCATGTGATGGGAACCTTTAATGAGAGGGACACAGCCCCCAAAATAACACAGCAGGGAGCTTGAAATGAGCTTTGTTGTACACCAGGCAATGTGGGCTACCTGTTAATAGTGAGGACATCTCCCCTCTCAACACCATCCCATTTGCAGTCAGGCATCAGCCCTGTGCAACTACTATAATAGCTTATGTGGAAAAGTAAAATGAGGAAAGTATTGAGGTAGAGTTAATATCTTTAATGCAATGCACGTTTGTTTTTTGTTTTTGTTTTTTTAAACCGATCACACCACAGTTTTCGCTCTACGCTTCTCCCTTTCTCTCACCTCTGGTACCTGGCATATGATTTTCTGTAATCAGGTCCCTTTCTTCTCCACTCCTCTGCACCAGCTGCCCGATTCCCTTCTGCTTTGAACATTCCTTCCCCTATGGAGGTTTCTGGTCCCATTGGCAACTCCTAGTTCCAGTCCTGATGGTGGCTTGTGACTCCCCTTTCATCTCATCCTTCTCCTATGTAGCAGCCTCTCCTAATAGAGATGGCTAGGCTGGCTCCTCCTCCTTGTTTAAGCTGCTTTTATAGGCATTCAGGCAATGGGAAACGAGGAAAAGCCAGCACCCTGTGACTTTCCAACTCTCTGCAGACTACCAGCATGGACATACTCCATTTTACTTAACCAGTTTCACCATCATGTTCTGTAATAAACAGTGTGATATAAACACTAGGGTAGGAGTGTGTGGGGTAGAAGTAAATTTGGTTATGATTGAGAGATCAAGCCTGTCTGGCTTAAATGTAGCTTTAGCCCATTCTTCACTGTCACTGATGATCCAAATTGTTGTTAAGGATAAATTTGGGTGATATTATGCCTGGTTTTACTGTTAGTGCACCTCCAGCAGGACACACATCAGTCACTAAAGAAAGCCCATTCACAGTGCTGTTCCAGCTGATACTTAAATGTCTGAATGATGTATTTAAAATGTTAACATGAACAAGATGACAGCAGTACAAGGAACATTCTGCCAGTAGTGATGACGGGATAATTAGCAATAACTCAGCAACCCAGAAGCAAAAAAACAACCACCCCCCGAATTTATTTTATTTAAAAGGTCTGAAAATGTTACCACTCCATATATATATATAGAGAGAGAGAGAGAGAGAGATACAATAATTAAATATTATTGAAGAACATTCACTGAATCAGGAAAGATGAGTTTGTCTGACACCTTTGGGAGTTCTCAGATTTAAGTACCACTCTAGATATATCCAAACACAGCAGCTGAAAGCACAGAAGTTATCCATATTTTACAAAAAGAAAAGGAGTACTTGTGGCACCTTAGAGACTAACCAGTCTCTAAGGTGCCACAAGTACTCCTTTTCTTTTTGCGAATACAGACTAACACGGCTGTTCCTCTGAAACCTGCCATATTTTACAAAGATAAACGTATTGCAGAAAGGAAGATGTCCAGGAGGGGGAGCAGTTGACAAAGAATAGAGAGAAGAACATACATAGAAGAGAATCCTCACCTATGATTAATGAAATATTTATTCTCTGCCTGTGAACCATATGCTCGCACAGCTTCATCCTCAGAAAGCAGAGGAATTTGGTAGTGCAGATACTAAGAGGAGCTCTCTCTGTTATTATGACTTCCTAGAAAGTATTTCTGGCATAACTAAACACCTGCTGCTGTACCACCTCATGCTGTGATTTTGTCTGCTCTTACAAGTGCTATCTTCCTCAAGGATAATGCTGCAGGAAGTGGGACTGGTGATTCAGTAGGTGTCAGTCTTCCCTCTGAGTGAGTACTGACCCAATGTCTCACCATGATGTTAGGGGACAATGCACTACTGGATATGCTGTTTTGGGTATGATGAACACTCAAGATCCTGATCGTTTGTTGTCATTAAAGATGACATGGCACATTTTTTTTACAGGAGCAGGTATGTGAACCCCGATGTCTTGTCTAAATTCCAGTGCAGCTAATTGAGAACATAAGAACTGCTATACTGGGTCAGACCAAAGGTCCATATAGCCCAGTATCCTGTCTTCCGACGGTAGCCAATGACGAGTGCTTCAGAGGGAATGAACAGATGAGGTAATCGTCAAGTGATCCATCCCCTGCCGCCCATTCCCAGCTTCTGGCAAAGAGGCTAGGGACATAATCCCTTCCCATACTGACTAATAATTACATTCTGCCTGCCTAAATTTCTCTTGCAGTTTAGAGTAATGGCATTAGAATCAGACCCATAGGTATTTCACCGAATACACTGATGAATGATATAAGAAACTGCACCAGCCACATGGTCACATACATTTCCTTTAATCAAGGGCATTTTGTGCTCTTGTGCCAATGGATTTGGACTGCAAATATCTGAACCATGAGGGGAATCAGTTGCCGGATGCCAAATATCTGAACCATGTGGGTGGGGTTTAGAGGGATGTGTTGTTTTCCATCGGAACTAAATATGGTCTCACAGCGGAAACACTACATTGTGCCCCTAGAAGGACTGAACCTGTGATCACAGCTGAAGTTTCTGTTGAGTTTGAAGACATGAAAATATGAGTAGTAATAATTTTAGAGAAAAATATCTGAAATCTGCCAGTCAGGTTAGAGGTGGCTAGGTGGTAGAGTGGAAATTATTTGAATACCCCTTTTAAAAGATTTTACAACAGGTGCCCAGCAGGTGGCATCATCTCCTCAAACAGACTATAAAAAAATGGAATGTCAATCTGCTTTATTTACCCAAGTGCTGCTTTGTTGGTGGTATTTTATGTAATTCCCCTCGTGTTCTAATAAACTGGTTAATGAGAAGAGAAAAGTAATGGCTTTGGATCTTTAGGTTGTTATCCAGAGAATGAGTAGCAAAGGGTTACTGAAGCAAGCAATACATGATTAAAATACAAGTGTAAAAAAAATCTCAGAGCATTAGAAATCTCTAATTTCTTAAACTCCATGTGTTGATCCAAAAGAAAATATGTAATCGTTTTGTAATAGCTGGGACTGACACCTGCCAGAAGCCACAACACACATCTGAACAGGTAAGGCACAGATTCCATATCCAACCCCCAAGGCTCTAGGGAATGAAATAGAAATACAGTAGTTCCAGATTGCTGGCATGGCCCCTCCTGGACTTTTATCTCTGTTACACCACCACCAGATTGATGTGCTGGATTTGGCAGC